CCTGCGCTGGGTTGGAGCAGGGGCGGTGCTCGGAGCCGCTTCTGATTGGCCGGCGCCCGGGGTGGGGAGCAGGGGAGCGGGGCGCTGGAAGCCTGCGGGGCGGGGCGGGGCTGGGGGGTGAGGAGGGCTCTGATTGGAGCATGGGGGAGGGGAGCGCGCGTCTTCAGGGGGAGCCAAGGTGTCCCCCAACTAAGTGGCGCGGTGATTGACTGGGCGCGGCAAAAGAGGCGTCCTGATTGGTGGGCCCGTCTGTGGGGGCCTTAGAAGGCCCTGATTGGTGCAGTGGTTCAGGTAGGGAGTTGATTGGTGTTCTCCTGAGAGGCAAAGGTGGCCTTTTAGTATGCTCTGATTGGCTGCAGAGGCCCAGGGTACTCATAATGGTTGGAAGGGTGGGGGGAGCAAGAGTGCTGTTTGAGTAAGGTGCACTCTGATTGGTGGAAGACAAGGCCCCTCCCCCAGGATACTCTGAGCAACAGAGTCCCTCAATTAAGCAGGATCCTTATTGGTGGGAATATTCAGTATGGGGTTCAGTGATTGGTGGGCACAGTGGGGAGCCCTGAGCAAGCTTCAATTGGTTGGGAACTGGGCAGTGAAGAGGCAAGGGTGTATGAGTATGGAGAGCTCTGATTGGCTGGGAACTGTGGTATACAGAGGGGGACAGTGTTGTCTTCTGAGTAACAAGAGCTCTGATTGGTGGGTGGTTGTGGTATATTGAGGGGGAAATGCTGCCCTAAGTATTGAGAGCCCTGATTAGTGGGTAGCTGTAAACCAAAGAGGGTAAAGTTACCTTCTGAGTATTGAGAGTTCTGATTGGTGGGGGCTGAGGTATACTGAGCAGGGCGGTGCCACTTCTGAGTATCAGAAGCTCTGATTGGCAGGTCGCTGTGGCATACCAGAGGGGGCAAAGCCACCCCTGTGTATTGCAAGTTCTAATCGGCAGGTGGTCGTGACATACGGAGGCAGTGGGGCAAGGCTGCCCATTGAATAGCCCACCTTTCGATTGGTGGCTCAGGATTCTCCTTTCAGGGGGTCCCGATCCCTGGTTGGCGGAGCCAAGAGGGCAGCCACTCTGACCCAGCTCTGGAGGATGCCCTAAGCATGGGCTCGCACAGCAGCAGCAGCGCAGGCACCGGGGGCCGAGACGCCCGGGATGGCTGGACCCCGCGGGGCTCCGAGGAGGAGGAGGAGGACGAGGATGTGGACCTGGCCCAGGTATTGGCATATCTCCTGCGCAGGTAACTTGCCCCCACTGCGGGCCCAGCACCCTTTTGCCTTGGGTCTGGGGCAGGGAGCTCTCCCCTCCAGGAGGTGCCAGGCCTAACCTAGGGGTGGGGCATGAGGCAAGGCCCTTTGCTCTCTGGGGGAGTCCCGTCAGCTGGCAGGGGGGTGTCTCAGGATGAAATCTGGTGGGAACTGGCTTGGATCACAGGGGCAATTGGGGGGTGATATTGGGGGAAATAGAGCTTTTAATTCCCCCCCCCCCCCCCCCCC